TAGGGCTTACATTCGTGTGAAACGATCACATAAATTGCCTGGAAGATGTGATGGTTTAGGTTGTGACAAACAATAACCTCAGAATCCTAAGATGGGTTAGGGCTTCTATTACATTGTAGGGCTATACAAAGACCTAAAGATAAGTTTAGGATTTATGTCACACTAGGCGGACAACCTCAAAATCCTATTGCTTGTTGTATAATTCTAAATAGTGGTTTAGTTTAGCTAATGTAGACTTGTTTTGTTGTTGAAGATGGTCATGCTGCCCAGAATGCTAACTACAAGTTCCTCGTGGTGGCGATTTTAAGTTTTCTAATGTGTCGAGTCATGATGTCAAATCAAATGTCTCCTAAATTTATGGCTATTTAGATGTTATGGGGAATGTTAAAGTTGATAAGAGCGACACCGGTTAGGATCCTACGATTCCCTAGTTCCGGCAGCACTATTTTCTTTTGGATTTACTTGGTCCAAATAAATTTACTAAACACAACTTAATGAGTTCCATACTTTCATTTAGACCATGGGAAATCTTGTTAGCAATCGTAGGTTACCTCCTCTGAGGGATTCTCGATCATACGATATAAACATCTTAATTTAGTTGCAATTTTTTTTATTTTGTTTGTGATTAAATTTACAATTGTTTTATATTTTGATTTTTATAGAGGTAAATTTTTTCTTATTTAATTTAAATAGTAAATGTAATAATTTAAAAGCGTGCTTGTCAATTCTTCTCACTCCTCCACCTGAAAGGTTAGCTTTGGCAACATGTTTATAATTTTGTAAGGAACTTAAATCACAGGAGTAGATGAAGGTATAACTACCGAAACCCAAGTCATGACTTTATTGAGTTTTGGAAGATCATAGTGGATAATGTTATAATAAAATATAAAAAGTTCAATTTACCCTTCAAAATATCCAAGAAATTTTAAAATGCTTGGGGCATGACCCTGAATCACTTTGAAGATTTCTTGAAATATTTCGAGTTTATTTTGACCTTAACATAATTTTCTATTGATCATCCAAGGTTATGTCAAAGTTATCCCATTGGTCAAGGAAACTTGGGGTTCTATTTATCCCAAGGCTTGGACACTCCATTAATCAATTGATATTACATTTAAGAGATATGTGGGCGGGTGACTCTAAGGCAGGTTTGAGTCATAAGAGATTGTGGTGCCCACAATTAAAGTGAGGCTTGTAGTATTTAAAGATGTTAATCATTAATCATATTATCTTTTAAATCCAATCAATTGAGTTTAGACATCGACCCTAGGTGACTTTCAAGCCCTTAATAATCATAACGAGGGAAATTGATGATAATTAAAATTTTGGATTAAGTGACATATATTCTTATTGAAAGAATCTATCCTATGGTTTGGTTTTAATTTCGAGAAAGAATTATTTAAATGTTTCATCTTGCTAATTTTATTAATTACGACTTACATTTATGCAACACAGTCACACAAATAGCCTTGAAGATGTGAGGATTTAGGTCGTAATAAACGACAATCTCAGAATCCTAAAACAGGTAGGGCTTAAATTGTATAGCAGAGTCATACAAAGGCCCAAAGAAGATGTTGAGGATTTATGTCGCACTAGGCAGACAACCTCAAATTCTTATGGTTTTTTGTTTGATTTAGAAATAAAATTTTCAAAATTAATTTATTTAATTAAATCAAAATAATTTTTTTTTATGAAAAAATTATTAGAGGTTTCCTTTAGGTCAGAGAAACCCTTAAGCAAAATTTCATGATTTTTTGAATTAAATTTTAATTATTTATTAATTTTAAAAGAATGTTTTAATTACTCAGAAAACATAATTTAGTTACAGAAATTCTTTTTAGATTTTTATTAAACTCCTTTGAGTTCAAAGAACTCAGAGAAACAAATTTGTATAATTTTATGGTTTTTAATTTAGTTATCATAATTGTTTTAATGAGAAAAACAGGAAAATACATTTTTGGGCCTTTAAGGATTTATTTTTAACTTAGAAAACTTAGAAAAAATATTTTAATGAGTCCTAAGTGATCAGGGAACTATTGGGAACATTTTTAAATATTTTTGTATTTTTGGAATTTTTTAATTATTTTTAATTTAAAATGTAGGTCAAAATTTCAATATTTTCTTAAAAGTAATTTTTATTTTTCCTAAAGGCTTATGATCACAAGAAACTCAGAAAACAACTTTTCATATTTTTTCTTAGTGTATTTAATTTAATATAATTATTTTTGTACGAAAATATAAGGCTTTTTAGAAAATCAACTTTAGTGCTTATACTTAATCAAATAATTTTTAGAATTTTTATAGTGGGTACACATGGTTTTCATACACAGTGTGGAATTGATTTTGTTAGTATTTTATTAGTTTTTAATTTACATAAATTACTAAAAGATATATACACTTAAGCAAATATACAAATTTACAAAATTATTCAAGCCATCATGGTATTTTTCTTAAGCTTCCCTGACTATAGAAAACCTACTATAACTATTACATAATTTTCAAAGTGATCTTTTAATTTATGTAATTAAAATAAGCTAAAATAGTTATCTTAGCTTGAAAATTAGGTATAGAAGGTAGAGATGTCCTCTAACCTTGGAAAAATCAGAGGACATAACCTCTGTCATGAGGAACAAACCATCAAAATTTCAAGCCACGATGAGCACTGTTTGATCGAAATGAATTAAAATACTCTAGAGAGTATTTAATTCTTTAAAAATCAAGGAGTAATAAAATAAATTTTATTTTTAGCCCACATTATTCTCCTCTGTTCAATGAGCACGAGGATACATTTCTTTTATTTTTATGATTTTTCTAAAGAAAGATATGGATTTTGAAGTTCAAGCATTTAATTAATTCCAAAAAAAAACCATATTTTCTATTTAAACGTGCGACGCCAAATCATCCTACGGCGGCTGTGAACTCACATGAGACGCTCTGTCGTTTCACAGAGCCCACTAACTT